TTCCAATCCAGTAACCACCTCCTCTGTAGAGGCTTCGCCAACCTCCGACACAGCTCTGTGCCCTGAAAAGTCAAGTATAGAAACTGTGATGGAGAGCAGATTAATCAAGCAGATGATGTAGTTTCTTATGGAACTAGAAGTGCAGATGGAGGTACTATACAGCATTAGTTTACTAGGGAGTCATGTCCTTAGGAATCTAGAACCCACAGCAGGTTTGTACCTTCATAATTGTTGTTTTGTGATCATATACAGTGGCTACCACCATCTCAAACATTAAACCCAAGGTCAGGGTAGGAAGGAAGGGTGACATGAATGGAATCTGCCTCTTCTTTTGGCTGTTTACAACACCTTTATAAGCTAAATGGGGAGCACGTTCTCATGTCCCACTTGCAGGTTTGGCAAAGAGAAGAATCACTTGAAACCAAGCAGCCTGGAAATAATCAGTCCAGGATCTGACCTAAAATTCTTAACCTCACCCTGGGCTTTCTTTCAAGGTTTCAAACTGTTGGTCTTTCAGTAGCTATTTGTGACCAATCAGTACCACATAGACATCTCCCTTGGCAGCTTTCAAAGGTGACACCAACTACTCCACACATAGCATTCACTTTAGGACCCACTGACTCCCTACATATTGAGCCTTCATTCCGTGTAGGACTGCTTCAAGATAGGATGGATGGATGGATGGATGGATGGATGGATGGGAGCATATGAAGGACGCAGCTCCTACCTCTAAGGAGAAGAGAGGCCAGAATACAGTTCACAGGCCAGACATGACATGATCCCCACTTTCAGATTCCCACCAAGGGGAAAATAAGGTCACAGGGGAGGGGAAATGACATCCCTGTGGTCCTGAGACTTGTATTAAAATTCAAACAAACTCATTCTCTTTCCTCTCCATGTATTTTGCATTAATCCTTTTCATAACTTTCCATTTGCTCTAGTTAGGATCACTATAACCAGGCTGAGTGGCTTGTATCTGGGGCATATCATCACAGCCCATTCACACTACCCTGAGACACCAGACCAACTCACGTACTTTTGAGAGTTCAAACCTTTTTTTTTTGTGGGTGAGTCTTGTGGGGGGAAATGTTATTATGAAGAGCATCAGTGAATCTAATAAGCAGTTTGAAAAATGAATGCTGCCAATTCTAAAAATGTTATACATTCTGGTAAGTTAGAACAGACATCCTAATGGTAGGTGAGCTGAAAATTAGAAAGTAGGCCATTCTGTACAAAAAGACAATGACTTCTGTACAAAGAAATAGCGGAGCTTCCTGGAGAGGTGTTTGAGACAGTTCTCCCAGGTGTCTTCAGGCAAATGGTTTATATACTCTGAATTGTGCGGAACTTATAACTGCTTGGCTCACACTGGAATTGAAAGGAGTAAATGAAGAATGCCTTGTAAAGTACTTAGAACATGTGTAGGACACCTGGCCAAACAAACAGTGGCAAATATCATTCCAGATACAATTATACTATTACTGTAACCTATAGAAAGACTATTTCCAGGTCATCTGGATTCATGACATCTCATTAAGACCATGAGGAAATGCTGCCCAGTGTTATTCCATTTTTGTGATCAGCAGTATATTTGAGACAAATGTCATAGCTATTATGTCAGTCCATCTCTCAAAACTGTCTCCATCCTTTATTTTACCAAACATAATATCCTTTTCTGGTGACTGATCTTTCCTCATCACAGATCCAAAGTATGTTGAAGTCTCACTATCCTCTCTTGTAAGGAACATTCAAGTTTCATTTCTTATAAGATTGATTTGTTTCAGAATAGATCCCAAAAGGAAAACATGAAGCCATTTAGAACACTAAAAGAGAAGAACAGTCAACTGTAAAGGAGAACCAATTAGATTAAGGTCTGACTTCTCAGCAGAAACTCACGAATACAAGACCAACTCTACATGAGAAGTCCTTCACACAGAGACATCAAAGGAAAGTGGATAGACCAAAATAACCAGCAACTACTGGAAAAGGAAAACATCAAGATGATAATGATAAAACCTGGCCTCACTTAATCACACAATGTGAATGGCTTAAATGCACTGATAAAGAGAAAAGGAGCAGCAGAATAGATTTAAAAAAAAAACAACAACACATGAATATGTTACCTACAAGAGACTCATCTAAGAAACAAGCTGAGGTAAGAGACTTCGTCCTAGAGAGGGCACATTGAGGCACAGGGACAGAGCTGCCAGCGACTCCCCTGGAGAGAAACAAATAATCAGTCGGGTCAATGGGCTGCACCCTGACCACCAAGGAGAGTGGAATAATCTAGAAGAGAGGAACCACACTCAGGTGAGAGTCCGTCTCCTCCGGGGTCTTCCTCTCTTGCACTGTCCCTCCACCTTTCCAAGCATGATGTCTTTTTCTAAGGACTGGTCCCTCCCGACAGCAGGCCCAAAGTATGTGAGATAGAGTCTCAAAATTCATGCCCCAAGGAGAAACCTGATTTCACTCTCTCCAGGGCAAACCTGTTTGTTCTCTTGACAGTCCATGGTGTGTTCAATAATCTTCAGCACCACAACTCAAAGGCATCAATTCTTCCTCTGCCATCCTTAGTCACTGTCCAACTCTCTGATGCATAGCAAGTAATTACAAAGATCATGGCCTGGATCGGGCACACCTTGGTCTCCCAATTGACATCCTTGCTCTTCCGCACTCTGGAGAGGTCCCTGACAGCAGAATTTCCCAATGCAATTAGTCTTTTGATTTCCTGACAGCTGGTGCCAAGAGTATTGATTGTGGATCCAATCAAGCTGAAATTGATAACAATCTCAATCTCTTCTCCATCTATCATGATGCTGCCAGTTGGCCTGGTGGTGAGAATCTTCCTTTTCTTGATGCTGTGCTTCAATCCATAGTGAAGACTGCATTCCTTGACCTTCTGCAACAAAAGCTTCAGAACCATCCTCAAAGTTTCCGCGAAGTTGAGTTATCTGCATAACAAAGGTTGTTGATGAGTAATCCTCCAATCCTGATGCCATATTCCTCTTTATAAAGTCCAACCTCCCGAATGATCTGTTCCACATACATATTGAAAAGGAATGGAGACAGGACATATATCTGACACACTCTTTTCTTGATTTTGAGCCACAATTTGTGTACTTGTTGTGTTTGTGTGATTACTTCCTACTTTATGTATAGATTTCACATGTGCACTATCAAGTGTTCTGGGATTTCCATTCTTCTCAAGCTTGGTCACAATTTGTTGTGATCCACACAGTAAACTGTCTTTGCATAGTCAATAAAACAGAAATGGATTGCTTTCAGTCAACATTTATGTGACATTGGCAATGATGTCCCTAGTGCTGCTAATGCATCTTCTAAACCCCGCTTGTATTTCTGGAAGTACTCTGTTGATGTACTATTCCTGTCATATTTTTATAATCTTCAGCAGGATTTAGCTTGTGTGTGATATTGTTCAATAATTTCCACACTCCATCAGATCACCTTTTTGGGGAATGGGAGTAAATATGGTTCTCCCGCAGTCAGTTGGCCTGGTTTCTCCAGATATTTTGGTACAAACTGGTGAACACGTTCAACGATGCATCCGTTAGTTGGAATTTGTCACTTGGTATTCCATCAGTCCCTAAGGCCTTCCCCCCACCCCACCCCTACTTCCTTCAGAGCAGGTTAAACTCTAGTGAAGAAAGATGGCAGTCTCTTATAAGGTTTAAAACCTTAGAAACCCAACGAGAAGGGTTACTATGAGTCAGATTCAACAAGACAGCAGTGAGTTGTGGTTCAGTTTACGAGGCCAGAGAAGAGTCCAGATAGCACAATGGCTAAGCTCTCAGCTGTTGCAGGGAAAGAAGGTCTGTAGTTTGAGTCTGCCAGCCACTACATGGAAAAAGGATGCAGCACTCGGCTTCTGGAAAGTTTAACAACCTTGGAAACCTGTCAGGAAGTTCTGCTCTGTTCTGTGAGATAAAAATAACTTCTTGCTGTTGTTGTTTTGTACCAGAGAGTCAGAACTGACCCTTAACTGACCCTCTGGCTGAGTTTTGCGAGGCAGTTAATTGCATGCGAGGAGATTGCCCATCCTTCTTCCACAGAGCATGCCTTTAGGATTGCAGCACAGCGTCTTGCCACTAGGCCACCAGAGCTTTGACTGATGGGCCTGAGCATGATCTGTACTAACTGCTGGGGGTACAGCAACAGATGATGTGGATAAAGTTCATTTCTTCAATAATTTTCTAGTGAGAAAACAGACAAGCAATACATGAACATATATGTCCTCTAGGTCACTGAGTTTGCATTCAGCGGTTGCCTACAGGTTCAAAGCCACCCAGTGGCTCCATGGAAGAAAGACCTAATAAACTAGTCCCATAAGAATTATGGCCAGAAAACTTATAGAACATTTCTTATTCTGTAACTCACAGAATAACCATGAGCTGGATCATCACCATGGTAACAGGGGAGTGTTTAAGTGTACGATAAACAAAAACAAGGCAGGATGAGTGGGCCAGAGACAATGAGAAAGAAGTGTACCCAAGGCCCCTTGCTGCAGATGATAATTGAGCAGCCATTAAAAGGGCATAATGGAGTTAGCCATGGTGGCCCCTAGGGGAAGAGTGTTCCCAGGAAAAGGAAACAACCTTTGCAAGGGGTCCTGGGGTTCTAGAAATTCCAGGTGAGATTCAATGGCATGTGTAGGGAACAAGGAAGTAGACATGAGGAGACAATAGGAGGCAAGGAGGGCAGAGTGGAGGCCAGAGCCAAGTCATGAGACAGACTTTTCTCCTTATTATGACAGAGCACATTATTGGCGCTCTCTGGCACAGGGGGAGATGTGACCCTCCCTGCCACCAGTAGTGTGTAGTTAGTAGGTCAGTAGTTTGAGCTCACCAGCTGCTCCGCAAGAAGCATGGGCTGTCTCCTGAAAATGTTTAGAACTTTAGAAACCCAGTGGAGAGTTACTGTGAGTCACCCTCACCGTGATGCCACTAACCAGCTTCAAACCTTTCTCCTTTCCTCTCTGCCAGGCCATGTACATGTTCTACGCGCTGGCTATCGTGTGTGACGACTTCTTTGTGCCCTCCTTGGAGAAGATCTGTGAGGTGCGTGCTCTGGTTTCCCTGTGCTCAAGCCTGGCCTCTACTTTCCTCGGACCCGAAGGCCTACGCAGGCCCTGGCCCCTCAGCCAAGAATCCGCCAGAGTCCACACCTGCACCATGGCATGGGAATGCCAGGAACCAGCATGCTTGACAGTCATGGACTGCCACATCATTGTGAGGCTCAGTAATCCTGCTTAGAAACCCACAGTCCTAAGCAGTACTCGGACTTTAGCCCAAGTGATGAGCTGTCTTCCAGTCCGTTGGGCATAACTTACTAGTGCTATTTATATATGTCTCCATTTTTGTTTCCTGTTTTAAACTCTGTTGTTATTGTTGTTACATACCATCAAGTCAGAACCAGTTTAAAACTGGGCCTCCAGCAGGTTTTTCAGAAGCAGTGAATTTCACTGGAGGTGATTGCCTATTTTAGCTGAGAGCACCTAGTGGATTTAAACCTCTTGCTTTGGGGTTGGCAGTCCTGCTCCTTACCACTAAATCACTAAGCTCCTTATTTATATACATCTCCATTTTTGTTTCCTGCTTTAAATTCTCTTTGCTCCTCTTTATCATTCTCTCCAATTTCCTCACCTCTCTTTCCTTCTATTCTTGGCCCTCCTGGCTTGTGGGGGCTTCTCCGAATTGATGCCCCTCACTACACACCTCAGTCATGCTTCCTTTCTGAATACCTAGGAACGATCAAAGTTGAGGCCCCAGAAACAAAAGATGAAAGCCTCGGCAGCAAGCTCAGGAAAGGACCTGTGAGAAGTCATCACAGTGAACACCACCAGGATGAATCTCCAGTTAAATCCCTTTCATCACAAGTATTCAGCATGTCCAGAACTCATTATTCCTTGCTTGTTTCATCTCCCTGTCTGTTTTGAAATGTAGTTTCCATTACCTGAAAGCTTTTCATTTTATTATATTCTTAATTCCAACTTGAATCCAAGTTTTCATCAGGGCTCCCTCCCATGCACGCCTCCCATCTGGAGCTCAAGTGTTTTCATGCCAGAACTTCTCAAACCTCACTTTCTCTTACCCTCTCACCTCCATGTTTCTGCTTCAGAAAGCCCCATGGCAGTATAGGGTGAGCAAAAATCTTTAACAAGTTTCCAGGTGAAATTGAGGCTGCAGATCTATGTACTGTACTATACCTTGAGAGCCACTAGCTTAAGAGGTTTCTTCTCCAAGAAATTTATTAGTGTTCTGTACCTTGAAAGATAATAAAAATGGATTATTACACAATAACCACACAAAAAGATGGGAGTCAGGTGAGTTATCTGATATGTACATGGGTGGAACAAGCTGATTTCATCTGGAAGCAGTCAGCCTTATCTAAAAGAGGAAGCATTTGTTGTTGCTAGGTGCCTCCAACTCATAACAACCCTGTGAACAAGATCAAAGCCTTGCCTTGTCCTGCACCGTCCTCATAATCCCTGCAGTGCTCAAGCCCTGACCTAGGAGGGTAAATCCAGTTGCCAGGAGGGTTTCTATTTGTAGGAAGAAGCAACTGAATTTCTTGGAAGGACAAAGCTGAGGGGTAAGGTTTTATGTATTTGTTTCAAGGATAAAAGAAAACAGACAATGAGGAAGATGTTTAATGAAAGAATTTCATACTTTCTTGGGTCATTGGTGAGCTAAAAGGAGAATGACGGTGGTGGCACAGTAGTTATAGCACTAAGCTGCCTACTGAAAGGCTGATGATTCAAACCCCCCACTCATCTGGACAAAGAAGTGATGATCTGTGTCCACTCGTGCTGCTTTGGAGGCCCTCAGGTTCTGCCTGTCCCTAGTGTCCTTGTGGAGGTCCTCAAGGGCAGTTCTGCTCTCTCCCCAGTGTCCTTTGTGGGGACCCTCAGGGGCAGTTCTGCTCTGTCCCCAGTGTCCTTTGTGGGGGCCTTCAGGGGCCGTTCTGCTCTGTCTCCAGTGTCCTTTGTGGGGGCCCTCAGGGGCTGTTCTGCTCTGTCCCGTGTCCTTTGTGGGGGCCCTCAGGGGCCATTCTGCTCTGTCCCCAGTGTCCTTTGTGGGGGCCCTCAGGGGCAGTTCTGCTCTGTCCTACAACATTCTTTGAGTCTGAATCAACCCAGTGGCAGTGAGTTTGGTTTAGTTTGGTGTTTCAAAGTAGACACTGGATGATGATGTTATGTTAACTGAGAGATTGGAGTGGCTCTGTGTACACTTCCAGAGGAAAGCCTGGCAATTTGTTGTCCCCATGAGTTGGAATTGCTCAGTTGGTGAATGCATGTGGTACTAATAGGTCCACACAGCTTTTTAATCTTTACTAGAACTCAGCAAGGTAATTATGATTCTATTCTATTTCTAGACCAGGAAATCAGGATTGTCACAAACCTAGTTAAGGATAGAGCTTCAGTTTGAACTATGTACCCAGGCTCTGGCCTTTAATTGATTGATAGAGATAAACTTGGACCAGGCCATCCTTCTCTGCAGAACCAGAACCCACAGCCAGAAGGGAGCAATGGACATGGGAAGGGTATTGGCTTAGGTGATATTTTCCAGAGCTCCTCAAGTTCCCACGCCCTTAGTCAGTCTCACCGGAGGAGAGCTCTTTCCTACTCCTCTGAAGACATGTGACCTCTCATAGTTGCTATGGAAACAGTATGCCTATGAAAGGTGGGCAAGATGAGGAAAATGTCCAAGTATTCAATAGTCAGTGTGTTCACACCTTCTGAGAGATATGGAGCTGATTTCATTTAGAGTTAAACTTTCTCAGAAGATAATATAATCCTGAGATTCAACCCACAATTGTCTACAGGACTTTTCTGAGTCTAACTTTTGTTTACGCTCCTTTCCTCAGTTGTGTGATATTGAATGATTGAATTATTATTGTATTATTTTTCTTAAACAAAAGTTGACGTGGGAGGAGACAAAGGGATATTGTTTTCAGTATTAGTGAAATATGATTTGGGGGTTAAAAGCACACAGTTCAACAAATCATATATCAGGGAGGAAATTCTAACTTAGTCTCAACTACTTTAAAGTGGAAATCAGAAAAAAAGTGAGGGGAGATGGTGAGATAAAGAAAATTGAAGTGAGAGAGAAATGACAAGACATACCCAGGGACAGGATGAGAGCATCTTTGGATACAGAATCTCAGTGATAGAACCTTTCAAGAAATGACACAAGATAGGTCAGGTTTCAGATATGTGGTTCATAGGGTCACTGTGAGTTGTACTCAACTCTAGGGTGCATAGCAACAACAACAACAGTATGTTGAGATATAATCCACATTGAAGACTATAATCTTTAAACTTCATCAGGAAATGTTTCAAGTTCCCTTCCTTCTCTTGGAGCAAGATTGTATAATCTGCATAACACAGAATGTTAACGTAACTCTTCCAATCCTGATGCCCTTTTAAAAATAGAGTCTAGCTTCTCTTTTCCCTGATTATTTGCTCAGCATACAGACTAAGTCTGGTGAAAGGATAAGACCTTGATGTTCACCTTTCCTGATTTTAAATCATGCAGTATCCCCTTGTTCAATGCAAATGATGAGCCATACATTCAAATGCCTTCTCATAGCCAATTAAACACAAATAAACATCTTTCTGGTAGTCTGTATTTTCAGCCAAGAGCCCCTCTGACATGAGCAATGATTTTTTATTCCATAGCCACTCATGAATCCAGCTTGGATTTCTGGCATTTCCCTGTTGATGTACTGCTCCAACTCTTTTTTAATTATCTCCAGCAAGATTTTACTTGCATATTATATTAATGATATTATTTGATAATTTCTGCATTCTGTTGAATTGACATTTTTAAAAATGGTTATAATGTATCTTTTTTAGTTAGTTGGCCAGGTAACTGTCTTCCAAATTTCTTCACATAGATGAGTGAATATGTCCAGGACTGTATCTATTTGTTGAAACATCTCAAGTACTATTCCATCAACTCCTGTAACCTTATTCTCCCTGTACCTTCAGTGATGCTTGGACATCTTCCTTCAGTACCATTGGTTCTTGATCATATGCTTATGCTACCTGCTGGGAGTTCTGGTGGCCTAATGGTAAGGAGTTGCACTGCCAACCCAAAGGCTTAGCTTTCAAGTCTACAAGCTGTTCTGCAGGAGAAAGATAGACAATCTCCCTACCTTGCAAGTTATGAGCTATGAGTTGGTTACAATTCAACTATATATTACAATTGTTGGTTATTGTTATACATGATAACTTCCTGAAATTGTTGAGTGTTACAAAATCTTTTTGGTACAGTAACTCTGTGTATTACTTCCATCTTCTGTAGGAGCTCTCTGCATCATTCAAATTTTTGCCAGTAGAATTAGTACTATTATTGCACAACAGTTCTTGTTGTTTTGTAGGGTTGAGTCTAAACCAACCCTCAGCTGACGCTCCAGCAAGATTTCAGAGAAGTAAATCACACATGAGGAGATTGCCTGTCCTTCTCCTGCAGAACAGCTAGTGGATTCGAACTGTGTGTCTTTGAGATTGCCTGGAAGCTTCTTGTCACTAGGCTTAAATTTTTTTTTTTCTTCAGTTTTTTTGAGCTTGAGAAATATCAAGCGTGTCTCCCTTTTAAGTTTTCTAACCCCAAGTCATTGCACATTTCATTATAATATTTTGCTTTGTCTTCTCTAGCTGACTTTTGAAATAATTGTAGATTTCTATTATTTGTCACTTCTTCATTTATTTAGCTTCTCTGCATTCTCAAGAAAGTGTCAAGATAACGTATAACATGAATTTTGGTCTTTTCTTTCCCATATTTTCAATAACCTTTCTCTTTCCTCACATATGATGATCTTTATATCATCCCATAACTCATCTGGTCTTTGATCCATAGTGTTCAGTGCTTCAGATCTATTCTTGATGTGATCTGCAAGTCAGTTGAACATACTCAGTTTTGTATTTTGTCTCTTGTGGACTTATTTTAATTTTCTTTAGTGTAAGCTTGAACTTGCATATCATCAATTTATCATCTATTCAAGCCAGCCCCTCTTCTTCTTCTATAGGGCACTGACTTATCCACTGTCTCTTTCTACAGATGTAGTTGGCTTGAGTCTTATGTGTTTCATTTGACAAGGTCCACATGTATAGTCATCATTCATAAGGTTAATATATAGATTATGTATAGAAGGGTATTAGGGAACTCTGGTGGCCAAGTGATAAGAGAATCTGCACTGCAATTCTAAAGCAACACAGTTCTAATCCACTGGCTGCTCCATGGGAGAAAGATGGGCAGTCTCCTCTCCTGTGATTTACTGCTCCTGAAAACCCTCTGGAAGGTCATCCATAGGTCAGTTCCAACTCAATGACAAACAACAAAAAACAGCACAAAGGTATTTGAAATAAAGAAGTCACTGGTCATAGAAAACTCTGTAGAATGAACTCTAACCTTATATCTATCACCAAAGTCATATTTTCCAACTACCAATTATTCTTCTTCTTTGTTTCAAACTTTTGCTTTCCAGTCACCAGTTGTTACCAGTGCATCTTGATTGCATGCTCGATCAGTTTCAGACTAGAAGTTGGTATAAATCCTCAATTACTTCATATTTGACTTTAGTGGTTGGTGCATAAATTTGAATAATAGTTATATTTATAGTTCTTCCGTGTGTGTGTGTGTGTGTGTGTGTGTGTGTGTGTGTTATCCTATAGCCGACAGTGTTGTATTTAAGGATAGATTTTGAAGTGTTCTTGTGCATGGTGAATATGGTGCCATTCTTCTTCAATTTTTTTTCCTGGAAGAGAAAATAATATGATTGACTGATTCAAAATATCCAATTTCAGTCCATTTCCACACACTAATGACTAGAATAGCAATCTTTAATTTTTTTCATAAGTTCCTAGATGTAGACTTTGTACATTCCATGTTCCCATTATTTATGTTTGTTTGTAACGCTTTATTTCATCTTGAGTGGAGCTAGCAAATGAGGGTCCTTCAGTTCTAATTCATAGCAGGACAGAACCTAACTGTCCATGGAGTTTTCAGTCAGGCAGTGTGCCACAGGCTGATGCATATGCCTGAAACCATACTGCCATCCGTGGATTAGCAAAGATACATAAAAGTGAAGCAGTTGGAAGGTGCAGGGATAATGATCAGATGCAAACATGCTAAGCATGCTTTCTAGCTTCTAATGGGCATTTGTGTTCTTATAAATCCCATTTCATATCAACATTCAGGTCCTGTGGAACCTTAGGTTATGTAGAGAATCTTTGGAGGGCTTACTCCTCTTATGCCCTTCCTCCATTCCTACCCTAGAGTTTTAAGTTAGCACTGAGATTGGGAAAGTGGCTTCAGAAGAGTGGTCTCCCTACTCCCAAGGCTGCTGTAGTATCTCTCTAGAATTAAGGCTTCCAGAATAGTTACCACAAACTTCAGTTAACTTCTAGGTTGGAAAAGTATTTTAAAACTCAGGATATTTTGCCTAAAAACCAGACTCATTGCTGCCATGAGACTTGAGGTAAGTGATCTATCTGGGCTATTGAGCCCATCATACACTGTGACTTCATACTGCCCATTCCCCTTTTCTTGTCACTTGCATGATCTCAAAGGCATTTGAGTTGGGGACCTGGTCTCTTATGAGCAGTGACTCATATTGCTCTGGTCCTGTCCCAGTTTAGGAAGCAGTAAGAGTTTGGTCCTGCACTTGTCCAGAGGCTGGGTCAGGCTCTGGAGATAGTATGTGAGCCCCACCATCTTATTGTCTCACTGAAACCCTCATTTTTGTTTTTCAGGGTATGGAACCATGAGGTTACAGTCACTTCTGTCCCCAAGGGTAATTGGACTCATTTGTGTTTTTTCTTGCTTCCCTGTAGCGCCTACACCTCAGTGAAGATGTGGCTGGGGCTACTTTCATGGCGGCGGGCAGTTCAGCCCCAGAGCTGTTCACATCTGTCATAGGTAGGTGACAATGAGGGAACAGTCCTTCCCCTCCAAAAGAATGCCCTCTGGGGACCCTATATTCCAGGGAATAAAATTCAGAGGCTTTAATGAGCAAAGCAACAGCCTCCTCCTCCCTTGATATTACTATTTTCAGTTAAGTGACACTTTTGCTTTGCATGAACTTGTCCTAAGCCTAAACTTGCCAATCCTCCTGTGGAACATTGTCCCTTCTGCTCCTCCACTGTTTCCTATAAATCCTGAGAATGCTCAGCACTTCTGAAAGCTCCATGTCCATACTGATGTGGTTGATGCAACTCTGTGTTTCAGGAGTCTTCATCACAAAGGGTGATGTGGGTGTTGGAACCATCGTGGGTTCAGCCGTGTTCAATATCCTCTGCATCATCGGTGTCTGTGGACTCTTCGCAGGGCAGGTAAGACCCAGGGTTCATTTGTGATAGCAGCTGTGTCCGGTAGGGAGCATGAATACAAGGTAAGGCGGTGGATGGCTCTGCTGGAACACAGCAGCAGTGCCCAGTCGTGCAAGCTAGCAGAGAGCTGGGGCTCAAGGACCAGCAGCTGCTAAAGTAGAAGTAAAACTTGTTTAGTTTACTAGAACTCTTGGTATCAATATTGACAGAATATAGAAAACTTCTTGTTGTTATGTGTCTTTTGCGACTCATAGTGACCCTATGTACAACAGCTCTGAACTCTGCTCCCTCCTGAGCCAACTTTATTGTCTCTAACACACCTACCCCCAAAACGCCAGTCACTATATAAATACATCTCATCAAGGGTCTTCCTCTCTTGTGCTGTCCCTTCATCCTCCCAAGCATGATGTCCTTCCATGCAACATGCCCAAAGTATTACAGTAGAAAACGTAGGTTTTTCTAAATAGCCAACTGGCAGAATATAAGCCAGGCATTTGAAGATGACATATCAGAACTCTTGAGATGTTGTTGACTTTGATTTAAATGGCCTGAGACAATTTTAATTCTAGGTTTGCCTCTTTGAAAATAAAGTACAAAGAGAAAAATGAAGAGGTTGTAAACAGAGACAGATACTTTTTTTTTCTTTTTTTCTGAAAACAGTTGGAAACGATCAGTCAGGTTCAGCCTGGTGTTTTCAACAGTGATTTGGTGTTTTCTCCTTGTCTACTTTAGCTTTCTTCTCAGCACTTGAGAGAATTTCAAAGGCCCACATTTTATCTATGAAGACTGTTGCACTGTTAGGGACAGTTATGGGCTTGTATCCTTCATGGGCCTGGTTTATAAAGCCATTGGAAGATGCCCAGAAGCCGCTAAGCCAAGTGTGGCTGCAGGCGTGAGAGCTTCCTCCTCACTTAGTGCAGGCAGCCACCCTCCGGCTCTTATGGCCAAGATACTTCACATTCTTCTTAGAAACATTGTATGTCATGAGCTCGCTCCACCTAAACATTTAACATTCAAAAACATCTACAAAAAAAGTGACTTCTCGATTACCTTTGAGGGCATGTCACTGAATTTAAAACCAAAACTAGTTAGTGTCAGATCACTTTCAAACCATAGCAAGCCTATGTGTGTCAGAAAAGGTTTGTGCTCTGTGAGGTTTGCAGTGGGTGATTCTCAGGGCATTTCCAGGTCATTCTGGGGAGGAACTTGAACCTGGACCCTTTTGGTTAGTGGCAGGGCACACTTGCAGCACTCAAACACTTCACTACATTTAGAAAACCTGGTAGCCCAACTCATTGCTTTTGAGCGGGTGCTGACACATAGACGACCCTCTATTGGGTTTCTGAGCCTATAAATTGCATGGTAAGTGATTGCCCATCTTTGTCTCTCAGAGCTGCTGGTGGATTCTAAGTGCTCTTGGAATAGCAGTGCAGCGTGCTGTATGTAGATATGCCACCAGTGCTCCTTAGCTATCTGGTTGTCCTGATCCCCTCTTCCAGTGTGGAGGGTGTAGTGTCCTGGTAGAGGCCAACTGGTTTGAACTGTCAGCAGAGGCACAGTATCCTGGTGAGCTTTTCTCATAGCCCCTTTTTCCAGAACCTTCTGTCTTTCAGTCACATGGGCAGGAATGCCCAGTGCTGCACTTTTCCCTAATACAGTTTCTCTAGTACATTCTGGAGAGTGCTGCTATTTTCCACAACCTCTTTTTTTCACTTACATCATCTCTTTCATGTACCTTGATTTCTCTGGGTTGTCTGTTGTGTTAGTTGTTTCTGTGTGAAATCTTGATCTTGTCACGAATCCAGCTCTTGAATCCACAGGTTTTCAAGGATCTCACTTCACTTCCTGTAAAATGAGTGTAGGCAGCATGCAGATGGCCAGGTTTGACCTCTACAAACTCCACAGAGGGAAACTGTCCCATCAACAATATCTGTAGTATGAAACCAATGGTCTCCCACAATGTTGCACCTACTTCTACTAATTCCAACATAAATTTTACTGTTCTTAAGTAAAATTGAGTCTGGAGTCCATTGCAGTGACTACATAGACTTCACAGAATCATACTCATGATTTTGGGGCTTATTAGGGAAGTTAATAGGTTACAGCTGAGGTTGGCAGCAGACTACAATTCCTCAGTCTAGGCAGCTTTTCAGGTATGTTCACAGGTTCTTTGACCTGCAGACTCCCAGCTTAGGTCAGTGTTACAAAGTTCCCTTAGTCCTGCCAGTTATGGTGTCCTCCCTTAGTCCTCCAGCAAGCTTGGGCAAAGGTCTCCGGCTCTAGCTCCCTGGGCATCCATACTAAGTCTGTTCTCTTGTAAGGAGGCTGCTGCTTCTGTGCGTGTCTGACTGGCACACAGATCTCTGGTCCTGAAGGATACATACAGTACCTCTGCTTCTGCTTCGTCTTTATTACTGGTAGTGAGAGTCTTCAGTTTTTGCTACTGAACATGCTCGATATAAATCTGGTAGAATGGAAAAACTAACCATCCCACTTATGAATAGACTAACATACCAGTTTACAAATTCCCACCCAGCCATCATATAGCAAAGTCAAGAGCAATGGTCTGGGAAAACCATTTTAAGCAAGATATCCACTGCAAAAAATATAAGAGAGAGAGAGAGTGTGTGTGTGTATACACACACATATATATCTCCACTATTTAACACTTGGATCCACAATCAACATCCATAATAACAACAGTCAAGAAATCCAAAGACATGTTGCATTAGGGAAAACTATTGTCAAGGACCTCATTTTTTTTAAATTATCATTTCATTTATTTCCTTGAGGTATTGTTGAATTTCTTTACATGGAGACACATAAATATCCTGATAAAATATAAATGTGCTGCTCTATTTTTTAAATAAAATTTTACTTTAATTATTATTTTAACAAACATTCCAGAGAAGTTGATTTTCACTCTTTCATTGTTGTATATTTCACCCCCTTCCCCTTCCCTGTTCACTTTTTAAAAAAATATTCATCATTGTTGCACAATTACCTACCTCCCACATCCCCCAGTCTCAGTTATAAAAGGACAAATACTGCATAGCACCCCTGTTATAAAGCAGGTCTCACATGGGGAGTTGGGAGAAGAATAGGATAAGAGTGGATACATAACAACCATTGCATTAGAACAGATAAAGGATAGAACTATTTAAAGGGAATATATGATTGGTCATTATGTGTAGGACAACAACGCAGAATAAGAGGTGCATCATTTCAAGGACCTCTTTTAAAGTGCTAACAAGCAAAGATACCAGTTTAAAGCCAAAAAGTACCTGATCCAAGCCATGGAACTATGCACTTCCTTCCTATGCATCTTAAAGTTGGTCAATTAAATAGGAAAACTGAAGGAGAATTGATGCCTTTTAATTGTGATATTGGTGAAAAGTATTGAATATCCCATGGACTGCTGAAAGAACGAATATATCTGTCTGGGAGGACGTGCGGTCAGGTTGCTCCTTAGAAGCAAGGATGGTGAAAAGTTGTCCCACGTAATTTAGGTATGTTGTCAGGAGAGACCAGTGTTTGGAAAAAGATACCATGCTGGAAAAGGCAATGGCCAGAGAAAAGACCCTTAAGGATACAGATTGTCACAGAGACTGTAATAAATGGGCCCAAGCATGACAGAGAGCATGAGGCTGGCACAAGATAGAGTAGATTTTAGACTTGTTGTTTATAGGGTTGCTGTGAGTCACAGTCGACTGATAAAACCTAACAGCAACAAACAACATAATATTATTTTAAAAATCTAAGTTTACATCTCTGTGTGTGCCTTGGATGCTGTTTGCATTTGGCTGACATTCGTCCACATTGGCACCTTCTCCTGAGCTTACAGGGATGGATCGCCAAATTAAGCAAAAGAAGCTATTGTTGGTAGTTGTCTCTTAATTAGCATTGTCACCATTAGCTGTATAATTATTAGCCTGGCCATTATTAATGCTGTCATTAGTTCATTATTCATTTGTACCTAAAGCTTGATTCCAGAGCAAGCACAAAGGGGAAGAAATAAAGAAATTAAATAATGAGGAAGTGCCTAGGAAATGCCAAACAAGTAATTATTTATGAAGTTGGTTGGTTGAATTTGTGTTTCATTATTTATTAGCAAAGTAGCTGGTGATTAACACCTATAAAAGGCAAATTGTCTCCTAAACTTCAACCAGGACTGCTGCTAATAGTGACTTTAGCTATTTTGGGAGAAGCTTGACTGATCTTCCAACCCCGTGTGATCATGGAGAGAAGTCACAGACATGTGACTGACCCCAGAGCTCACATGGCAACTCTAGAGACCAGGTTAGCATTACTTCTTTTTGCATGTGTCTTTCGAGTTTTGTAGAATTCCTGAAGTCTTTGAAGAGGAGGAATAACAGTGTTTTGGAAATAACATGAGTCCATGAGTCAGGCTCCCTGGGTATAAATCCTGACTCTATACTTTCTGACCCTGGGACTTTGAGGAAGTTACTTCTTTAAGTTTCTTCTTAGAGTTTAAGGACATCTACCTCCTAGCATTGCCCTGAGGATGAAGCATGTCCAGCATTACAGCATCAGGCCCACTTGGTAAGTGCTCAATAAAAGCTAGACACTTTCAGCAACTATCAGAAGTACACCAATCTGTGTTATTTTCTTCTCCAGAATTCTGTCATTCAACCTAATGGAACTTATCTAATGCTAAGGCATCCCCAATGGGAAACAAAAGGAAGCCAAAGAGAAGGTCTTTTAAATGAAAATCATAACGATGCAGATAGGACTGTCTCAAAGAATGGTTGATTTTGTACTTTCTAATTAGTGGGAAGAAAGGAAACAAAGAGGGATGATGCACACCCATGTTTATTGCAGCTTTGTTCACAATAGCAAGGAGTTGGAAACAACCTAAGTGCCCATCAACAAACGAATGGCTA